GTAAGTCATTTGCCTCGGCCCACAGTTGGGAGGCACATTTTCTAATCATAACAGAGCTGTTTTAGGCACATGTAGGAAGCAGACAGTTTCCCTTGGTTCTTTAGGCTCCCTCCTTTTCTCCTTCCTGGGTGATATTTTCTCTTCAGGCACCTGCTTTTTTTCTTTCTTTCTTCTTCTTCTTCTTTTTTTTTTTTAATAATTCTTGGCATTTTCATCAAAACTTGTAACTTATTCTCAAGAGAAGGTCTTGTATTAAAGCCATTTCTTTTATATGAATTAAATCCAATTCAAAAACTGTACTAAGGTATTATTTTACGCAAAGGACTATTTTTAAAAAAAACTCTCAAGGGATTTCAGTATTTAAAATCTTATAGCTAATAATGGAATAAAATATTTGACCTGCCTTTTAAAGTGGCAGAAGCATTAATGAGTAGGAGCAATTAGGGGAGACTTTCCTTAATTTTTCAAGTAAAGTAAATGTTGAATTTTCTGCAGGTACCAGCTAGAAGCACTGCAAAATCCAGAATTTCTGGTAATCCTTATTATAAGCAACAGAAATTGTTATAAATAAAGCACCAAAGTAGGAGGGAGGAAGCCTGGGTGGGGTTCAATCCCATTTCATTGAATATGTGTTTTAGGTCATTCAGGACTCAAAAAACAAAGGGATGAGATTCTGATAGTTGTCTCTCTACTTCCTCAATCCAAAACAGACATTGATCCTTCTTCACATGGCTCGATCTGATCAAGCTAAGATAATGTTTTGGAGCCTCTTCTTGCTGACCCATCAAGTGCCAATTATTTATCACCTGTAATTGGTCTACAATATGAAATCTATTGCTACCCAAGGGCTAGATAGTATCTATGAGACCTTAAATTTCAGAATGTGATTAGCTCTGTGGTTTTCAGACTGGTCTATGGGTTCACCCTGGACTTTACAAATAGATGCCTTCAGTTAAATTCTCTGAGAATGGAGCTTGGGAATCCATCTTTCTATAAAGTTCTTTCAGTATTTGTGATGTAGCCAAGTCCAGGGATGAGCATTTGGGCTTTGCCACTTTAGATTATGTGATTCAGAGTTTTGTTCATTTAATAAACACAACTGAAGCCATTGTCATTTTTAGACAGTCTATCTGAATTGGCTTTTAGCTGGCTACATTTTTTGGTAACTTTTATTTGTTTTGTCATTAAACTCTTGAAGAGTACTACAGAGTGTTACCCACTCTGTGGACCTTGTTCTGATTGAGTTCAAATTTTGGCATAAGAACTTCTCAGGCTAGGTGGCCTTGAGTGAGTCAGCCACTATGGGTAGACAATTCAGTCTTGTTTTCTATGAAACCAAGATCAGAATACCTTGACAATGTTATTGAGATACCAAGATTCTCCTACTTCTACTTGACTTTATGTATAACAATTACTGAGTACAATGTATTGGGTGATAGGGATAAAAAACGTGGACTACCCTCTTACCAAATTCCTCTATTGTTATGACTATCCAATCACTATGTATATACTTTCCATCAGTAAGAAACTCTTCGAGGCCATGACAAATAATTTTCAACTCATTCTGCCTAATATTATTTGAGGATCTACTATTACAACCCAAACCATTGGATATTTTACCTAAAGGCCTGTAAACTGATTATTTGGAGTGTTGAGGTGAGTTTCCCAATACCTTTTTTATGGTCTTGGTGACTTAAAACCTCCTGTAGCACTGCTTTCTGTTCTATAGCATGAAGTTGTCAGTCCTATCAAAACTTAGTTAATCCTGGGACCCAGTGTTGATAAGCTGCTGAGAGGTTCCTGGCTGCCAATGATAGAAGTTGCTTTGTATTTTAAGAGTAATCGCCAAATGCTCAAACAAGGAATGTTTTATTTGAGAAAATTAGTGAAGAAACAATTTTGAGTGTGACAGAGTTTGGAAACTTTTTAGTCCTGAGAACAAGAGTTATCAGTGTAGACTGAGTATTAAGTTGTGCCTGTTTGAATGGGATTAGACTGGAAGAGTATTCTTCCTGGTTCCACTGAGCAAACTGAAGGATAAGTGATTCTTTCATGAACCAATTGTTTTCTGCTGGAGATTATGTGAGAGGACAGTTCATTTGACCACGAATTAAATCCTTGGATGGGGACTACATTAAGAATAGTCACACAAATGATGCCTGAGGCAACAGGAATGCATTTATGTAGGGAAAGCAACATTTCTGAAAGTCAACTTGTGCCAGATATACACTGGGAATGGGTTTCTTTATATTAATGAGATTGCTAATTGAATTAGTTGGGTCTCCAGTTAAAGTCTGAGCTAAAAAAAAGTATGATTTATAAAAACCAACTATGTTTGCTGATTTAATTTGGCTGTTGTTTTTTTCTTTTTTTTTAATTTTATTTTATTTTATTTGTGAACATACTGTACAGAGGGGTTACAATTGCATGGGCAGGATAATGCGTACATTTCTTACCAAGCATTGCAGCCTCCTCCTTTGTTTACCCTTCCCATCCCTTCCCAGCCTCCCCCCTCCCCCCATCCCAATCCTTCTCCTTCCCCCCTCCCCCCTTCCCCCCTCCCCCCCCCATCTCCTCCACAAGTTATACTGACATCAAATATAGTGAAAGCAGGGGTTATACTGTGGGGGAGGGACATACAAAGCAACAAAGAGATAATCTTATAAATGCGTTAGAAACACATGCATGAAAGAAAAAACATTAAAATACATATCTAAGGGTTCATTTTCCTGACATCACATTATCTGACCTTTTCCGCTTGACTCATACATATACTAGACATGAAGAAATGTTCAACATCCCTAGCCATAAAAGAAATGCAAATCAAAACAACATTGAGATATCACCTCACCCCAGAAAGAACGGCAAAAATCAAGAACTCTAATAACAACAGATGCTGGAGGGGATGTGGACAGAAAGGAACCTTACTCCATTGTTGGTGGGAATGTAAACTTGTCCAACCACTTTGGAAAGCAGTATGGAGGTTCCTCAAAAGACTTCACATAGAACTCCCCTATGACCCGGCTGTTGTTTTTTTCTTAAGCCATAAGGAGGTTTGTGCTGTTTCCTGTTACTAGGGGCTTGGGTATTAATGAACTACAAGATTAACTCTGCAGTGGTGTCACTGAGGGTGAGGAGGGAAAAGAAAAATCATGCATATACACATGTATGTGCATAAAGTGCAAATGACAGAGGAAAAAAAGTCAGCAGCAATGCTTTGAAAGACAGAGAACCTAGGATCCATTAGGGTGCACAACCACAAATACATACATACTATTAAACTACTACATAATGAATTTAAGAAGGAAGTGGGTAAGAATAAAAGGAGTTCAGCCTTAAGGTTCAACCAGTTGTGTGACCTTACCAAAGTTAATTGGCCTCTTTGAGCTAGTTTCCTCACTTAGAAAATAAAAGGGTTTGGCTAGAAGAGGTTGTTTTTTTTTTCTTTTTTCTTTTTGGTGAGGTCTTTCCACGGCTTGAAAATGCAATTATTCTAGGAATTCATACATGTTACACATCAGTGAAACATCATAATGGTTTCTAAGCAATGCCTTCTAAATTCATATATTTATCCATTCAACAAATATTGAATGCGGGCCTACTAGCATTTTAGCTCTTCAACAAAGTGATGAAAGGTCCTCAGCTGTGCTCAGAATCACTTGGCTTCTCCACATTTCCAGCTCAATCAAAAGCCAGGCCACAGCAGGCTGGGGACAGATTCTGTCACGGGAGAGAGGTAGGGTAATTTTAGGGTGTAATGCCAAGCCTACTCCAGGCCACAGATATCCCATTCCTTCAGACAAGTGGAATCTAGAAAGAACCTTCTGGCTTCTGCAAGGCAGCTGAAGGCTGGTGGTGGGTACGGGGGAAATGCAGAAGTTGGTCAAGTGGGTCACATTTTTTATGGACAACCAGTCATTTAGATCCCACACAAATGACGATATTGGCATATCCTGCTTTGACCAATACAAAAAAATGAGATTCTCATGTTATACCCAACTCATTCTTGGGTTCAGTGAGTCAGAGATAAAAGGAGAAGAATCTAGTAGGGGAAAAAAACCTCAATCATAAGACATACAATAATAGAGATCTATACGAGAGGAATGCTGACAAAATAAATGGGAAAATGTGACATGAACTGTTTAGCCAAAGCAGGAAAGAAGACAGATCATGAGAGGCCACCTGATCTCGAATTCTTTCTCACTGATTTCATTGCCATATATTGTAGGGTAGCCTCTTGCAACTTGTGCTGCCTTACATTTTCTTCCTTCACTAATTTTACCCTTTTAGACATTATTACCAAAATTGACTAATCATTTGTAGAATGCATGAGTTATAGGAAATGTCACCTAACAGAAAAATAAGTAAGTGTGTAAGTAAGGAGTTAGCCAAATTGTCACCTTGGTGACAGACAAACATACAATAAAACTTTGGTTTTCTTATAGACAGGACCTTTATTATGGCAAAATCTATAGGTTATTTCAAGTCCCTTAATTCATTTGTTCTCTAATATATCTAGCAAATATACTGTAGGATTTACTTATACAGAGAAAAGGCACAAAAGGCTTTATGCTTTAGAAAAGTTTTAGATTTACAGAAAAGTTGGAGTTAGTACAGAGTTCACATATACCTTATGGCTAGTTTCTCCCAATATTAATGTCTTACATTGGTGGGTATGTTTGTTACAATAATGGAACAGATATTTATAGATGATTATTAACTTAAGTCTTTATTCAGATTTTCTTTTAGTTTTCATTTCATGTCTTGTTTCTATCCCAACATTCCATCCAGCACCCAACATTCATTCATTGTTATAGCTCCTTAGTATTCTCTAGGTTGTAATATGTTCTCAGGCCTCTCATGTTTTGGATGCCCTTGACAGTTTTGAGGGTTACTGGCTTACTGTGTTATAGATTATCCCCCTTAATTAAAATAGGCTTGACATTTATCTAATAAGTAGCCTATCCAAGCCTGGTGGTATATCGATTTTCTTAGTATGT